GAGACACACTGAGTCACTAAATTGCCCGGGCTAGGCTTGACCTTGCAATCCTCCTGCCTCTACCTCTGCCTCCCAGAGTTCTGGGATCACAGGTGTGCACCACCACACCCAGGTACAGCTTGTTTTACTCGCATGTTTTTGAGATCTTTCTGTATTCAGCCAGTTTCCTTATCCATTTTTGTTTACAGTGACAGTTTTAGGAATATGTTCTACTTCATTGGTTTAAAATAATTCTTTTGACCATTAGGGGGTGCCAAAGTAGCATTAAATGCCTGCTTTGCTACCTGACTCAGGCACAGAAGGAAGCCTGTATTAATGATCTTGAAAATACCTTCCTTTCTTGCTACTTCAAAAAGAAACTGAGCCATTTAGATACATGTGGTCATAGTCCTTTGAAGTTTCTCTATAGGCATTCTAATCAAAACTGGTTACAGGATGGCTGTGACCTGTTTTGCCTTTTGAAGATTTTCTGAAATGGAATGGTCTTTAAATTCCATCCAGGAAGAGATTCTCTAAGCTCATTAGAACTGATAAAACTTACCTTATGATAGTAGTGTAAAAATAAGGATTTACTATAAAATCTGTGATGACTTCATTGCTCTTTTTACCTTACTCATAGGCACTAAGTCCTGTTTATTCAGACTTAGGTATCTTCGATTTGACTTCCTTTCTTTCTTCCCACTGCCCACACCGTCTTCGTGCAGACAGACCCCTCTCACCTTAACCAGGCCACTGGTCTTCTAACTGGCTTCCTTCTTAGATGGCTTCCCTGAAAAGTTTTCTTCTATGCCTCTTTGATATTTTCCTTGAAATAAATCATATAACTAGTGTTATTTCCTGCTTTGAAATTTGAAGCTAATGGCAGGGAGAGCAAAAAGAACAAGAATGAAGATGTATTATATACAGGTACCAACTCCCCATGAGGAATATAATTGTTATGTACTGCAAATGTGGACTAATGAAAATAAAAAATTTGAAGCTAGCCCCTCCATTGGTAACAAAGAAAGCCATATTAGCCTTAAGTGATAGAATATGCTTAAAAATGAAACCAACCACTTTATCTTTTCTTCTTCTATTTCTTCTTCCTCCCTGCTCTCTGTTTCAGCCACAGTGAATTTGTTGTTCTTGTCAAGATGTTATAACCTTTGTCACTTTGGGCACGGGATGGAACAGGCAGGGAGGAAGAGAGAGAGAGCATACATCTTTATTTATTTATATATGTTACCACTTTTTCGAGCCTTCTTGGAAACAGCCATTTCAAATTTTGTTTTATAGGAATTGTTACTGTTTATGATTCTTTGGAAGTCAGCATTCCATTGAATAACGTCTTTAGATGCAATAGTTTATTAACTTATGAAAAGAACAGTGTTGTCCAGCACTATTGGGATGTTCTTGTTCAAGCTTTTGTCCAAAATGGCACAGTGAGCAGAAAAGGTGAGTGTGAAAAGTATGTATTTCTATACTTGGGTCCTAATTTATGAATATATCAGGTGGCGTTCATAGAGGTTGTTATCTGAAAGCATTTCTAGATTAAGGCTTGTATGTAGCTTCCACAAGACTAATGTTTTTGTAAATAATAGCAGTTCCTGTGAAACTTGCAATTTAAAGTTTGATATACACGTGGAGTGGTCTTTTAAAAGGCTCCACCAGTAAGGTTTCTCTTAGCTGATAAAACCTAATCTTTGTTTTGAAAAGGTTCTCCAGTAGCTAGATCAGAGCTTAGAAATTACATTCATGTTCTAATCTTTAAGTTTGTAAATTGATTGTATAACTTCTGTGTAACTTTATGAAAATGTGATCATTTCTCATTCACCAATCCCGGAAAACTACTAACACTTCTAAGAAGTAGAAATGCATATGATTTGCTATAGGGGCCTATCCTAGTCCTCAAAGAGGTACTTATATTCATTCCTAACACTGTACGTTAAATTAACACCACCACTCACCCTCAAACACACACTGTACACAAGGAGAGAAATGGGGAGTCTATTCCTACCCCTAAATCTAAGTCTAACCCTATTCTCAAGCCAAACACTACCCTTAATATCCACATTGCAAGGTTCAGGTCCTTGGAAACCCAAAGTACATTTCACCCTCAAACGAATCAGTGCCCTAACCTTCATTCTCATATGCAAATTATCAGGTACATGAATTCCTTCAATATCACTCTCACCAATTCTAACCCTAACCAACAACATGATTCCTAAGTTCCCATACAGCGTTACTTGAAATCTTGCACTATGGCTAACCCTAAGGTGAAATCTCATTGTGATACTAACTATGAATCCCACACCACAATACCCAGGTAGAGAAATTCCAAGGCTATCACTCACCCTAATACTAACCCTAATCCTAACCCTACTCCTCAAGGAGGTACTTATATTCCTGAATCATTCCTAACACTGAACGTTAAATTAACACCACCAATCACCCTCAAATACACACAACACTAAACAGGTAGTGAAATGGGGAGTCTATTCCTACCCCTAAATCTAAGTCTAACCCTACTCGCTAGCCAAACACTACCCATTATATTCACACTGCAATGCTCAGGTCCTTGGAAACCCACAGTACACCTCACTCTTGAAAAAGTCAGTGCCCTGAACTTCATTCTCACATGCAAATTATCAGGTATGTGAATTCCTTCTGTATCGCTCTCACCAATCCTAATGAAAGGTTCATTTGTATTGACATCCAAGTTGATCTCTAAACTTTTTTCTTTTCTTGTTTTTTTGTATGGAGGGTCGAACTCAGGACGTTGGGCTTGCAAGGCAGGCAGCAGTATCGCTGAGCTAAATCCCTGTCCTCTGAATTTTATTTCTAGTGAACAGTATCCTTCCTTGTAGTGGTTATATGTGGGAAGGAAGAAGGTGGGTGAGGGTAGGGGTTAAATAAGTTTCACACCAATCAGAAACAAGTAGAATTCTTTGGAATGAAGGCATTTAAGGGGTTCAGCCATATGTAAGGAGATGAACCTTGGGGTGTGTCTTAAATATGTCTGCTGTGTCACAGAGACTGGATATGAAGCAGCAGTTTAATAACCTCTGCCTCATTTAGCTTAAAATATATACTAAGAGGATGTTCCTTTCTCCTCATGAATCCACTTGAACTTCTAGTATGAAAAATATTCTGCTCTTCCCTAGCCTAATGAATTTAGATCACCTTCATTCATTGTGTCCTTTGTTTGCTTGTTTTAGAATTTCTGTGTGAGGAAGACAAAGGTTTCACAACAGTGGCACCCGTCGTTCACACCACTGTGCCCTCTCCTACTACCACACCCACTCCAGAGGAAAAGCCACAAGTTGGAAATTATTCAGTGAGCAGTGGCAATACCACATGCCTGCTGGCTACCATGGGACTGCAGCTGAACATCACTCAGGATAAGGTATGCTTGTCCGTTTTCACGCATACATTCTTTGTGTATTTTTGCCAGGTACTGTAGATCCTATTGTCTACCCAACAGTAGTTACTAGAATGATTCCATTTTGAAATGGAGATCTGATGTTGACTTACTGAATTTTGTTTAGTTTGGAGTCAGGAGAACCATGAAGACTTAATGTCACTGGCAAGGTGTTGTCTCAGCCAGGATAAAACCTGCAGTTGAAAGGACTTTTTGGGTTTCGATTCTGTTTACCTTCAGTAGATCATAGTACACATAGGTGAGCTTTATTTTATTCAGTCTGTTTAAAATATATTTCCTGGGCTAAGGATGAAACTTGATGTTAAAACACTTGTCTAGCACATTTGAGGCCCTGACTTTGATCTGTAGCACAGCCAAAAAATGAAAAAATAATCTATAACTCCTTCACACACTTTAACCTGAAATGTACTGTGGACTGGGGTATACTAACAGAATAGCTACGTTTCCCCAGCTTTTAAAAAAAAGTCTTATTGAGTTTATTGGTACATTTTAGGTATACAGTACAGTTACATTCATTATTGGGATCTCGTACCTTTACATGACAGATCTTGGTTCTCATTTTTTCCCCATACCCCTGCCCTCCCTTCACCGCCCCACCCTCCCTTATTTACAAAGACTTTGTTTCCATTTTTTCATTTTTTCACATTTTTTCTTGTCCCTTATTTCCTTTCCCCTACTCTTCCCACTTCCCCTACCCCTTTAGCCCTTTTCTCCTCCAGCTTTTTGATGACTCATCGCAGAGGCATGCTCAAGTCCATGGTTCTACTTGCAGTGCTCCAGTAGGGCTCCAGAGGGCGTGCCAGTGACTAAATCTCATTTCTAGGGTCCAGTGACTGAGACAAGCTAGACAGCTCATTTTTTTAATCATCAATTAAGTTTATTGGTAAAATTTAGATATGTGCAATGATTAGACAGATGGCTTCTGTGCTCTGTAAAAATGTGTGTTTTCATTTGGCTTATTTCCAAGGAAGCTTTCTTCTTGTTTTTTAGGTTGTCTTAGTCATAGCTTGAGGGCCCATGCCAAGTTTGTTTGAAAGTAAGACACCTTGAATTTAAGTTTCCAAAGCAGTTTTTGTTCTGCACTGAAGTTGACCTTGTTAGAGTAGACGGCTTTGCTGTCAATTTACATAGTTAATGTATACTTCTCCCCCTGCAGGTTGCTTCAGTTATTAATGTCAACCCCACCTCAACTGGCTTCACTGGCAGCTGCCAACCCCAGACTGCTCAGCTTAGGCTGAACAGCAGCATCATTAAGTATCTTGACTTTGTCTTTGCTGTGGTGAGTAACACATTTTTCTAAACATTAGATGGACTCTCTGAAAAAACATACTGGAAAGCTGCGTGTGTGTGTGTGGGGATTAGCTTTGTTTTCTGTTACAATACTACTTAATAGTAAAGTGTAGTCCATTGATCCCTGTTCATTTCTCAGACTGCTTTGTGGTCTATAGGCTGGATTCTTTTATTAATATTCACCAACAGTGGACATTCTGCCATTATGTGGACTCTAGGAGCAAAAATTACATTAAAAAACTACGTGTGTATTATCTCCATGTATAAGAATTTCTGTAACAATATTTTTGTCCTACACGTTAGACAGCTCTCTCATGTTTTTTTCACCCCATTAAGTTTATTGGTACATTCAAAGCAAAAAATACTCATGTTTGTTTATTGTAATAATTTTAATCTTTTAAAATAATTTTGTAATAATTTTAGGGGTAATACTATTTACATTAGTGTCAGTAATAATAATAATAATAGCTAAAACTTATTGAGAACATTTGTCCCTCTGTATTTGTGAGTCCTGCATCCATGGATTCAACCACCCTTGGATCAAAAATATGATGGAAGCTGGATGTGGTTGGTGTATGCCTGTAACCCTAGCACTTGGGAGGCTGAGGCAGGAGGATCACCATGAGTTCGAGGCCAGCCTGAACTACATAGTGAGATCTTGCCTCAAAAAAACAAAATAAAACAAAACAAAAAAAAAGAATACTGAGGCATGACTGTATTTAGTATATATAAGGTTCTGTGTAAGTACCTGTATTTATTCATTAAATCAGCATTTAGGTTTTTTGTTCATGTTTCTGTCAAGAGCTAAACCCTGTTTAGAAGTTTATAGGTTGAGCATACCTGTTCTTGTTAGTAAAAATTCATCATTGGGGACCTTTACTTCCACCTTCTTAGGAACATTTATTATCTTCATACATTTTTACGAGGGGAAACGTGTACATGTTATAGCAAATGGGAACAAAGAATAAAAGATAGCTATAGGGGAGAGAAAATGTTGAACTACCAGTACTCCAACTAAGAGATTTTTGTACTATTGGACAAGAACCAATACTACTTTTAAATCAGATTACTATATTTAAAGTTGGTGTAGGCTGGGCATTGTGGTACATGCTTGTAATCCCAGCACTTGGAGGCTGAGGCAGCAGGATTGCCGTGAGTTTGAGACCAGCCTGGACTGCACAGCAAGACACTGTCTCAACCAAAAAAAAAAAAAGGGTGAGGGAGGGGGAATATAACAGTCTCACCTGACCTCCCTTCACCCCCTCTTCCCTTCCTCTATTTACAAAGACTTTGTTTCCATTTTTTTCCTTTTCTCTTCTTTTTTTCTTTTCCCTTTTTACCTTTCCCCTACCCCTCCCACTTCCCCTACACTTTTAGGCCTTTTTCCTATTACACAATATCAATTAGATATTTTGATTCTTATTTACACTTTCAGTTTATCACACCTGGGAAACTATTCGGTATTTACACATGTGTCCTATTAATTTCACTTAAGAGTATAAAGAATCACACCACAGTGACATATGTGCACCCATGTTTATAGTAGCACAGTTTATAACAGCTAAAACTTGGAAACAGCCCATTTGCCCATCACCTGGATAAAAAAAGATGTGTTTTTTTTTTAATTTTATAAAATGGAGTACTACTCAGCCATGAAGAATGAGAGAGTAGACATTTATAGCGAAGTGGATGCACATTGAGGTCATTTTCCTCTGCTTTTGGTCTCGTTTTGGGAGCCTCCTACCTAGTCTCACCTCTTCATCTCCCTCACCTTAATCTTCCGAGAGCTCGGCTCTCCCTCAGTAATCTTCATTGGTTGTTTAACCAACAAGGTGACATCTAAACTCCAGGCAGGGCAGACCCTCTTTACCCTACGCGAAGCATCCTGCTTCTGCAGACTTCGTCTCTTCACTCCCTCTTGATGAGCATTCTGCTTCCTTCACACTGCCTCCCGTGTATGGCAGAGGAGAGCACAGCAGTAACTGGTGCAGGGCTCTGTAGCCCCAACTCCCGGGCTTAAATCTCAGCTCACTGACTGCTAACCCCTTGGCCAAGGGAGCAGCCTTTAGTATCTCTGGGTGAGAATTCCTCCATCTCAGAATGGGGATGCTAATAGCACCTATAGCATAGAGTTATTGTTATGAGTCAGTGAATTTCTATGGAACATTTTGAGGATGGTGGTTGGCACTTAGGAAGTTCTCAAACACTTGGCATTGTGCTTATTTTCTGATTATCTTTACTCATGTAGCCTTTTTGAAAACCCCTTTTCTGTTTCTGTTTTTGTTTTCTTATCCAGATCCTGCCTCATCCAAAGGCCCTATCCCTAGGCTGGCACTACTTTGCTCCTTCCCTCATTGGAAGTAATTTTTCATCTTTCAATTCTTATAGCTTGCCACTTTGTTTTTTGAAATATGATTATTAGTGTTTTTATCTTATCTTCCCTGGTAGCTTGCAAACACTGCAAGGGCAAGATTCACGTCTGGCTCGTTTTGCAATCTCTCTGGATCACTTAAACATGTTACCTTGTACATACTGAACCCTCAAATGATTGGAATGACTGGCAAATCATTTGAGTGCTTCAAAAATATAATAACGAGGAGCAGAAAGCAAGTAGATGGAGATTGTATAATGGGTACCACAACATAAGAAGGATGACTATACTTCACGATAACTATTTTCTGAGGGATCTGAAAGTTGGAAGCGAAATGCAGAGGAAAGGGGTTTTGTTACATTTTGAGTTCTCTTTTACTTAGTTGCAGTTTATTTGATTGGCCCAGGTCTAGTCTGTGGTTTGCTTTTCTGTGTAATAGTACTAGATGGCTTTTCTTCAGTAGATATTAACCGAACCTGTAGAAAATTGGGATAGCGGTATGTTGATTAACTGGAAGCTCTTTTTCCAACAGAAAGATGAAAACCGATTCTATCTGAAGGAAGTGAATGCCAGCATTTATTTGGCTAATGGCTCTGGTAAGCAAAGCATTGGCCTGGGGAGAAGAGTGGGTTATACTGAAGGAATAGAAACTATAATTATCTTATTACCGAGCAGTGCCCTATTTAATGGGACAGAAGATACTATGTAGAAGGTATACCTTGACCACGACTTAATCTGTAATTTAGAACCATGGTATCTGTGCATTGTGGTTTATACTGTATAATCCCAGTTACTCAGGAGACTGAGGCAGAAGGACTGCAAGTCTGAGGCCATCTTGAGCAATTTAGAGAGACCCTGTCTCAAAATAAGAAATATAGAAGGCTGGAGATATAGATCAGTGACACAGTGCTCCCAAATTCAGTCTGCAATATGAATAAAAAAAGGAAAAAGGAAAGAAAAATAATTACAGTTTTCTGTCTCTTGCAGTATCATGGTAGATAATAGATGAGGATGTGACTGAGTTTTAGATTGTAGAAACATCTGTAGAAAGATAAGAGAACCAACCTAGTAATGGTAAGTGGGCAACTTAATGACTTAATAAGACCTCATCTCAAAATTAAAAATAAAAAAATAGGGCTGGTGATGTAGCTCAGTGTGAAGGCCCTGAGTTCAAGCCCTAATATCACACACACACACACACACACACACACACACACACACACACACACACACACAAAACAAACCCAGAAAACTGTCTTATTTTGATGTAGAATGGATAAGAAATTACTAACATTTTTTTTCTGTAAAGTTTTCAGCATTGCAAATAACAACCTCAGCTACTGGGATGCCCCCCTGGGAAGTTCTTATATGTGCAACAAAGAGCAGACTGTTTCGGTGTCTGGAACATTTCAGATAAATACCTTCAGTCTAAAGGTTCAGCCTTTCAATGTGACAGAAGGAAAGTATTCTACAGGTAAGGCTCAAGTAAACTTTATTACTACTTTATGTTTGAAATTGACCAATAGGTGACTTTTCTTTGAATCATGGTAATTTTGACATTGAAATAAAGAATTAAGAATTTACCCCTTGACTCTAATGTAGAGTTCTTTAGCCTTTAGCAAGTTGCGTAACTTTGGCTCATCATTTTGTTCACACCAGATGTTTTTGTGATCTGAAAACCAACCTCAGGTTTAAGTGAGCTTACTTGAAAGCATAGGTGCTTCTCCTAGGTTTCAGTATGCGGGGACAAATGGCATTTTGAACATCATGCATCTGCCTTCTTGGATCCATCTTCGTGCTAGAAATATTTTCATACCTGAATGAAAGTGACTTGGTCTAATTTTGTTGAGATACAAGCTAGAAATCAGGAGCAAAGCCTCACATATTTATTGTGAGCTATGTTTTTGACAGAAGAAGTGATCTGGATTTCTTCAAAGCACATGCTAGTGCAAATGGGGCTTTTTGAAGATCTCAGGGCTGCCATGCATGGTAGCACATGCCTGTAATCCCAGCACTTGGGAGACTGAGGCAGGAGGATCACCTCAAATTTGAGGCCACCCTGTGCTCCACAGTGAGTTCAAGGCCAGCCTGAACTACATAGTTGAGACGCTGTCTCAAAATAAAACAAAATTAAAATTAAAAAATGAAGATCTTCTCAGGGCTAAATAGTGGCATTTATCAGATTTTTAATCAAACCCTTGTGAAGATCTTATTCATGTGAATACGAACGATACATTTGGTATTGCAAGATTGAAATTTGCATGATGAAAAAATGTAGATAAAATTCCTTAGGTGACTTGTCCTTCTAGTTATTTAAAATTGGAGGTTTGTAGTTCACAGGTTTGCTGAGCAGAGCCATTTCAATCATCCACATCTTTTAAACAATTAATTCTATATTTTAAAAGGAAATGTCAGCTGCGTTTAAAAGTAAATATGCTGTGAGCTATTCAGCTGTTTCTGTGGTGGTGCTAAGTACCTAGGCTGACTTGGATGGGCCAAAGTAAATCGGGCTCTTATCCTGCCATTCTTGTGACTAAAGAGGTTCATTATAAATTTAAAAGTAGTTTTAAGAATTCATTTTCCCTTTTGTTGGTTTTCCTTATGTATGTCAATTATTTTGATCCCTTAATAGCTTTATTTTTAAAATCTTTATCTCCCTCCTCTACATCATTATCCTAATTTTAGGTCCAGATTTGTGTTTAGAATTTAAAAATCATTCACAGTTATTACCAGTTCAGGCCTATTTATCTAATCGCTGTGATCGAGATGAGCTGTGCTCTTTGTCTAATTTGAAACTTTGGTTTATATGTGTATAGAATTTAAAATGTCACCCAAAGGAGCATACAACATTTAATGCTAATATTGAATGAATAATCTATTTCTTGAACTAAGTTCTCAGCTATGGTATGTATAAATACAGTACATGGTAAGGAAATATACTTACAGGAAGGTAGAATGGTGTTGATTAGATTTTACTGGGTCAGACTGCTCTCTAGAAACAAATTGTTCCCATGGGCTGCTGGCCTGGACCAGATTGATGATAAACACAGTAAACATATTCAAATTAGTAAAGAGGTTCCAACTTTTTTTTACTGTTGCAACCACTAAAATCATATATTCTAAGCTATGGATCTATAAACTTTTTTTTCTCAGAAGGTCCAGACAGCAACTGATGTTTTTAAAGACTTTGGGGCCTGTCGCAACTGTTCAGCTCTGCCATTGTACTACAGAAACATCTGTAAGGAGCATGTAGATAGATGAATGTGACTGTGTTCCTCAAAAATGTCTTTATGGATAATCAAATTTGAATTTCATATAACTCTCATGTCAAAATATTCTTTGGTTTTTATCTTCAACTATTTAAAATTGTAAATACAATTTTACAAATACAATTGTTAGCTCTTTGGTCAGGTTTGGCCTGTAGTTTACTGTAAAGGAAGTCCAGAGTCAGCTTAGCTGTTCTGATCCCATAGTCATAGCTGCTGTTTCCCCAGAGACGTTCACTCTAACACATAGAGGCTAATCTGGCAATGTATAAATGGGTTAGATTAGCTCTCTTCATTTCTGATACTACTGATTTGGAAGCGATGTGGACTCTAAATACATATACAGACACATATAATGTATGTTATACGACATGTAAGACAGTGTGTACTTATAGGTATAAATGAAAGGACAAGTTTCAGGATTTTAATTTTAGAATAGTCCATAATTTTCATTAACTTTTTCATAAAAACATAGCTGTCTTAGTTGAAATTGATTTTATAAGAGCATTTCTGACTTTTGAATCAACATCTTTTAATTTTGGACATTCTTTTTTGATTATACTCATTATTTGTTACACACTTTTTCTCACCTACAGCCCAGGAGTGTTCGCTGGATGATGACACCATTCTAATACCAATTATAGTTGGTGCTGGTCTTTCAGGCTTGATTATCGTTATAGTGATTGCTTACCTAATTGGCAGAAGAAAAAGTTATGCTGGATATCAAACTCTGTAACACTAGCCCATATGTGATCTCTGTTGCAAAATAATAAAGCAAGTACAAGTTCCAACATGAATTACTACTCAGTTCAGTGTACATTTAGTTAGTCTTGCTCTTAGAATGGGTGGTTTGGGAGATTTCTGATTTAAACTAAAACATCAAAAAAAACCAAAAAAACAGAAATAGAAAAAAAAACTACAAATTAGCCATTGATTTTTGGTTTCTAGAACCAAGAAATTTAAAAGTATCATTTCCATAGCAAAACATCTGGATTAGAGGTTTTATTTCACAGCCTTGACTTAATATTTTAGTGGTTTCATTTAAATATTCTGGATAGAAAAATAGTTTAGGAAAATCTTTTTAAAAAGATTATTCTGCATGATTTTGAATTAGGGCAACATTCTACAGTGGATTTGTACTTGCTCCTTTTGCATTTCATTGTGATTTTGTTTGCAGGTTAACTTAGCTACTTTGGCATTGTTGCATATTTGATCTAGGAGGGAGATGTTAGTAGATTTGAATGGGGCCTAGTAATATGTTTTTACCAATGAATGTTTTTTCTTATGCTTTTCAATGCATTTGTGTTTAATGTGGCCATAATGGCAAAATATACAAAAACCTTTTACATTGTAGAACAGGTGAAATTCTTGCTTTATTCTTTTTAAAAAACTGGTCATGTCAATCTTTTAATTTGCAAGACTTAAACAAACAAATATAAATGAATAGATTGCAAGACAGAAGACTATCCCAACTGGGCATTTCAGCCTGTTTTTTAGGTGCTCTAGAGATAATTGCTAGGTGCCAACTGAGAGTATTAGTCCTTTGTACCCATAAATTGGTCTCAACATGCAGTACTAAAATTAATGAAGATTTCTCTTTAACCTTCAAGTCTTCCTTGTTGGTGGCAGTGTGTTCTATTTTTTTAAATGCCAGTATGCCCTAGAACCTAGATAAAGAAGTATACTTATGTATGCTTAGAAAATAACTTGTACCTAACTCAAAATTTTGATCTTAGTTCATTAAAAAGTTATTGGTTTCCAGTTTGCATTAATTGCTACAGCATTTATTAATTTGGCTTTTACATTTAAATGGCTCTGTGCTAATAAAAACTTACACTGTTCAAAAAAAGAAAGAAATAATATTTAGGGCCGGGATTGTAGCTCGGTGGCACTGCACCTGCCTTGCAAGTGCAAGGTCTTGAGTTCGATCCCTGGTACCGGAAACAAAAAAAAAAAGAAAGAAAAACTACACTGTTTTTGTTATAGTACAATCATTAATTCATGTATTCTGTATTTAGTTTTGTGCTCTGAGAGAGGCACCTATTGTCCATTTGCTCTGTACCACCCAACTATTCCTTGTAGCTTCCAGGTGATCTTTCCTTATATGTATAAATATTGGTGAGACTGAGCAAGTACATTTTAAAAATAATTGTTATATAAAAAATTGATACATAGCCATTAGAGAAAGATTCCTTTGGTTATTTGGGGAGGGTATATTATGTGTTTCCCACTCACCAGAAAATGAGGACCTCTCAGGGTTCCAAAATATGTTGAATGCATTGTTACAGGCATGCGCACACATATAGGCAATTGCATGCTAACATGTACATGTCTGTAACTGTCTTGAGTTATATTGGAGTGGTAAATAATTTCCCTCACTTAAATTTGCTGTCTGTTTAGCCTGTAGACCTTACTGACTCAAAATCAGATTCCTCACTAACCCCTCTTCTAGAGCTACATTGAGCTGCAGTGCCAGCTTAAACCACTTCTTAAAGATTAAATATGAGTTATTAAACAGATATTTTTATTTAAACTGTTTTACTATAAAATTGTTAATCTTATAAAAATGGATAATGCTTTTAAGGATGTGGGCCTCACATATTTCTCTTGAGTGAAAACAAAACAGCTTTTTTTTTTAGTAAAAATTGGAAGCACAAATGGTTGCAGTGGCTTAATGCTGTTAATGTTTCTAAAAGTTTCTACATTTAGAGTACATATCAGATACTAAAATACCTCTGATAAACACTGTTTTATAGAAAATCTGACTTCAGCAAATATTTTTGTATTTTACATGGGCCAGTTTATATACTGCTATTTACACTATTACTTCCTAAAGCCGGATGTTCTTCATACCCTTTGTAGTTTTTTGCTTTGTTTTACTGGGTTTGTGCCTTGATGATAATACACTATTTAGTTTTGGGTGCTTTTCATGTCTTACAATTTTCATGAAGAAACTGGTCCATGTAAATGCTTTTCATGTTTTCTCCTCAAATGTTTAAACCACTAGTCGATGTATGGTATCTATCTTTAGATATTTGCTTGTCTGTTTGCTCAACATTGCTTCTAAAAACAATAAAGATTCTTTTATTTCTTAAGGAAATTTGCTCACATTTTTTCCTATTGGTTCAAGTCGTAAGGACAATTCTTTTAAAAGGAAGAACTTTTGAAATACAGGTAGATCTAAATTATTTCCAAAATGTTCTGCCTCTGTATTACTATCTGGAATAAGGATCCTTGACTTATATAAGGCTGGGTACAGAATAAGAATTACCTGGGAAGTGTGTTAGAAAAATATGCACTTCTCAGGGTTTCTTAGGCTCCATCCCTAGAGGATTTCACTTAGCAGGATGAGGTAGGGGGTATGTATGTGTGTGTGCATACGTGTGCATGCATACGTGTGTGTCTTGAGCTTCCCGTCCAAATCTGATTCATAACCAGTGAGAGAACCAGTGATCTTGGATATTTATTTCTTAGCAAAAGTTTCAGAGCATCTCTTTATATGCCTTTTTCAAAAGTTAAGGCTGATATGTAATATCTGTGCATAGCAGCTATATGTTGCAGCCATCCACACTGGGCTATTAATCTGGTCCAAAGTAGGACTTGTATGATCTCTCTTTTAGATCACCCTAAAACACTTGAACCTTCCAATTTCCAGGCTATTTCCCGGTCATTTTAGTATGACAGAAGAACACTTAGCAACCTTCCAGGTAATTTTCCTCTGGGTTACCCAGTTAAGCCACAAAAATGAAGTAAGTCATCATAGCTCCCAACACTGCTATTACCTACCGTAGGACTCTGGCCTGGTAGCTTAACTTTTAGGTCTTTTGTTTTCGTCTAAGGGCTGGAACTAATTTGATTGATTGATTGAGACAGGGTCTTATTATGAAGCCCAGGCTGACCAAGAACTCACAGCAATCCTCCTGCCTCAGCCTTCCAAGTGCTTGGATTACAGGCATGCACACATCATACTATGGGGCTGGGACTTAAATACATATTTGAATATGTCTAGAAGGACTCTGATAAGCTACTTGTTATGTGTCAAGAACATACTTTAAGTGTACAATGTACTATCTTAAGTTTTCTGCATTTTTTTCCAGGCAGAATTTTTACAAGATTCATATTTTTTTAAGATTATACCATTTAATATATTTATTTAGGTAGATAATGCTAAATTGTCTTGGACTCATCTGTCTCCCACCCATTTTCTTTACCCTGGTAGCTGCCCTCCTGTATAAACTATATTTTATCTTTGAAACTGGTATAATTGTGACACTGAGTAGGTTTAAACATCTTTTCAGTTGTCTGTGATACACTTCAGTTTGAGTGTAGATCCAAAAGGTATATAATAATTAAGATGTTAATTCTTAAATCCAATTCTTATAAAGAAATCTTGATCCATTTGGTGGGTTTTTTTTTTGTTTTTTGTTTTTTTGATTTGAGACGGGGTCTTGCTACATAGTCCAGGCTGGACTTGAACTTAACAATGAACTCAATTTGTAGCCTAGGCTGGCCTTGAACTCATAGATTCTCCTACCTCAGCCTCCTCTGTGCTGAGATTGCACATTGGTTTTTTTTTAAAGGTGTTTTTAATTTGGTATAATGTATACCTCAGCTTTCCACTTTTTATATTGAAAATTGAATTTGAAAAATTTCTGAACAGAAAATTGAAGGTTAAGAATTGTATTCTTTTTCCTTTTTTTTTTGGTACCGGGGATCAAACTCTGGACCTTGTGCTGGTGAGACAGGCAGCAGCACCACTGAGCTAAATCCGGGCCGCTCAATAATTGTGAGGCAGACAGTGGAAACACTGAGCTAAATCCCTGGCCTCTGTTTTTTTTGTGTTTTTTGGTACTGGGGATCGAACTGGGGCCCTTGCACTTGCAAGGCAGGCAGCAGAACCACTGAGCTAAATCTCCGGCTCCTTAATAATTCTTAATCTACATGAAACGTCAATGAAATTTCAGTGGCCATGAAACTTTTTAATCTTTAAAAAACTTTTTATCGTTTCCGTGGCTATTAAACTCTTCCACAGACACTTTTCCTTTCCCCAGAAATATTTTTAATATGGTATTAAGAAGTATATATTAGGTAGAGAGATCAAGTCAAAATCACATATAGAATAAGATTTTCCTTCAGGATATCCTATTAGAACTATTGTTTTTCCAAAGTTTATTTCCATTACCTAAATAATTCTTAAAAGATTGAATTTATAAAATCAATAGTTACAATAAATTAATATTTCATATACTAATATAGAGGATTTTAAGTAAGTGACAGCATCTAGAAACATCTTTGTATTAGTGTAATTGCCTTTTTTATCTACTCTGGGAATATTTGTCTTACATGAAGACCTTATTGGCAGTATTTGTGAAAGTTGTTGCAGTATTAGGTCAAATACCCAACTTGTGAAAGAGAGGAATGTGAGTCTGTTGCCAGAATAAGAAATTCATCTACTAATGAATTTTTTAAAAAACCAAGCGATCTTAAAATCCAAGTCATGGTACTTTAAGGTACTCGTCCCCTAATGGTTTGTAGGCTGGGTGTTAATTGGGGAAATTGAAGGGGAGGAGCATCGGCAAACTGAACTACCTGGATTCTTAACAGAACCAAGGTAAACAAGATCATTGAGTTGGCAGCCAAAGTCAATGTCAAAAAGTATGTAAACTCCAGGGTTGCATTTTGTTCCCTGTGATTGCCCTGGAAGCTATCAGAAAAAGAAGAGGAAAAAAAAAGGCCTGGCATATTTCTTGAAGGCAAGCACAATCAGAATTGCCTTGCAACCTTACTCATTTGTATTTTTTACAAAATTTTAATAAGTGTAATTCCCTGATATATCAGCCCTAATAGATTGTAAGCTAGGAAGAGAAAGAGGGCAAGGAAATGGGGGGAAGTAAAAAGTGGCAGTTCAACAACCCATCCTTCTTCCCTGTCTGCAAGTGTATACCCATGTGTACCATTCCTTCATCTTCTACACTGTCAGTAGGTTTTCTCTTCCTGGTAGTGCTTCTGGGATCCCATTCTTCCTACCTTTTTGGAGACCTTGTCGGCACCCTAATGGCTCTTTCTCTCATCCTATAAATATATTTAAATCTCTTCCTCTTAGATGCCATCTTCTCTTGTCCTTGTGGCCCCCTTCTAACTACCTCTATTGTCCTTTTAAAAAATCATTCTAAACGTCTTGAAATGAATGTATGTTGCTCCCCATCCCAAGTTCTTGATGTCCTAACCAGTCACTCTCCATTCATTCCTAAACCCACAGCAATTTGACTCATAACCCCTGCTCTCCATACTGCTAAATTCAGTGGACATTTTTGGTCTTGGTACTGAGGATTGAACCCAAGGCCTTTGCACTGAGCTGTATCTCTAGCCGCTTTTTCATTTTTTAAAAAAAATTTTGAGACATGGACCCTCTCCCTCTCCCTCTCCCTCTCCCCACCTCCTCCCCCCCCTCTCTTTCGGAGACATGGTCTCTCTTAAGTCACTACCTGGGCTAAGTGCAGACTTGGGGCCTTCCTGCCTCAGCTTCCCAGAGTGCTGTGATTATAGGTATGCACCACCATGACTGGATCCCAGGGGACATTTTGGGGCTTATATTTTACACTAACTAGTTTCCTAGGCTAATTAAAGCCCTTTAGCTTCTGTGGCACCATTTTCTTTTCTTTTTTGGAGTGCCATACAACATTTTAATAAAATACTTATTTTTTGAAGCAAAACATTTATTGGTACATTTTAGATATACATAGTGACAACATTCATCATAGGGAATTCGAACCTGTACGTAATATATCTTGATTTTTTTCCCATCTCCCCTTTGACCTGTCTTCCCCTTTTTTTTTTTTTTTTTCTTTTTTGGTACCAGGGACCAAACTCGGGACCTTGTGCTTGCGAGGCAGGCAGCAGAACCACTGAGCTAAATCCCTGGCCCATTTTCCTCTCCTTATTTACAAAAGCTTTACTTCCATTTTATTCTTTCTGTTTTTTTTTTCTTGTCCCTTATTTCCTTTCCCCCTCCCCCTTCCCTTGTTCCCCTTCTCATTTGATTTCCCAATATCTATTATACATTTTGGTCCTTATTTCCACTTTTCAGTTTCTCACACCAGAGAAACAATGTGATATTTAGACAAGTGTGTGGCACCATTTTCTACCTGCCTTTTTTATTTCTTTTTTTTACTTCTTTGTCTATCCCTTAAATGTTGATTTCCGAAGGGTTTCTTTTTTTTCTTTCTAGTACCAGAAATTGAACTCAGGACCTTGTGCTTGCCAGGCAGGTGTGGTACTACTGAGCTAATTCTCCAGCCCTTCCCAAAGTTTTTTGTCTCTGGTCTTCTTTTCATTCTACTTGCCCTCAGTGAAAACTGTCTTTGTTCATGGTTTTAAGTACCACTTCGGTTCACATAACTGCTTGGTTAGGATACAGGCGTCCTAAACTCAATCTGAAACTGAGTGTCTCCCTCACCCACATATCTCTCCGCTCCCCCTCCCCTCAATAACTACAAACATTCCAATACGGAAGTCCATCTCTGTTTCCTCTTAGATTACTATGATGATGGAAACATACATCTGTGTAATTATTCAAAGGTAGAATTAGAAGCCATCCTATTACCTCTCCTCCTATGCCCTCTATATTCATTTGGTTAATTGTGCATTGTAATTGGAACTCTACTCTGTTCCTTCCACATTTGCACTTTGCTAACCCAGTGTTGGACCATGTTATTGGTCATTTGGACTCTAGCAATAAAGGCATCTCCTAAGTTACTACCTCTCCATCATAACTTCTTAAACAAATATCCTGTTTAAATCCCGGTGCTGAAGTTTTCCCCTCAAGAGTAAGGTCAAACAAGCTAGGATTGGATTATACAGTACTTTTGTAATTCAATCTTCATACACTTTCTCTGCCTCCTGTCCAACCCACCCATTGTTCTTGCTATGCTGACTTGCATTGTCCCTATTTCCTCATCCGTATTTTTGTTTCTTACACCAGAAATGCCATTCTCCTGTTACTTGCACGGTTAATTTCTACTCAAAACTAAAAAAAAACAAAAATCAGTTTAAATGTCACCATTTCAAAGTATTTTTGTGTAACAAGGCCGAGTGT